GATAGATGATAAATAAGTGTACCCCGGGTCTTAAAAATTTCCTGCCGCCATAATGTCCACCAGGCCCCTAGATTCGTTTTGAGGTAGTCTGAGGCCTCAGAGTACACCCCTCCTGGAACTCTGTCTGTCAGAGGTGCCTCAAAATTTTAGTCTGAAAATTCAGACAAGCACAATTTTTTTTGTCTGAACTGTCAGAGTTACTTCAAATTTTAAGATGTTCATGCAGTTTCGTAAAAGCAGTTATAATAGCATTGAGGCTGATTACAGCCTACCATACCAACGCATCAGGCAACGTGCTCGTGCTCGTGCATCGCCTCTGCTCATTTCGGCAGCGTTCCAGTATTTTTGTCACGTGCAGCGCATGGTTGTTTCTGCTCTGCTGATCTCATTTCGTTTTGTCGTGTGTGTGATTACCGTTCTGTACCCATTTTCTCGCATGTGTGCCGATTTTGTCAGTTTTGGATTTGCTTTTCAAGCGATTCGATCGTTCACCCGATCTGTATCAGGTGGGCCAAGTGCCACGCAGCTGAGCTGGCAGCAGGCAGATTTGTTGCTTGGCGTGGCATGTGAGGATCAGACAAGTGCCACACGAAACTTTCAGTACGAATCAGGAACTTCGCAATTCACACCAGTGCGTGCTGCAGATGTTTTTACAGCGAATCAGCATCAAATTCGCCTATTCTTTACAATACATTAGCGATAACTTACATGTGACGAGATTTTGTCTTCAGAAATCTCGTAATCACGCAACCATTTCCTCAGCGAAACTGGAAGATATTCTCGACGAACGAGTGTATTTGGATGTCCCAGCTGTCGAAGTGAGCGTTGCTCACGTCCTGGCACTCCACTGCCATCTCGGAAGTGGGCATATCGGAAGGAAACTTCCAGGAAACTTTGCTCCGATAAGCGCGCAGAGTGTATCCCCGATACAAGTCTGAGGCTCAGCCTACCCTAGTAAAATTAGGCTGAAATTTCAGACAACTCATAAGAAAAAACTCTGGAAAATCAGACAAGGTACATAAATAAATTCTTGGAGTTCAGACTAGGTACAAAAAAAAAGTCTGAACGGACTCTGATTCAGACTCCAAAGTCTGATATCTAGGGCACTGATGTCCACCCAAGCATATCTTTAAGCATTTGTAGACAGTCCCCCGGGTCTAATAGCCGGAGCTATACGAACCGGGTGTACAAGCTTGGAATGGCTGGTCGAGCATTTCATCCCTGCTTACACTAGCTTTGGATGAGTAGAATGGTTCCGACAAAAGCATTTCACGCGCTCTAAAGGATTGTACAGTTATTTTGTTGAAGAGACTGGTTTCAATGGTTGCCCACTACACTAGGGCCCAAAAAGATGGTGTTCGATTTAAATCATGATTTGCCTTGAAACCACACTAGCCATCAAACTCTATTCTGTCTTTCACTGTCCCTCCTTCAGCCTCCATACAGCTTCGTTCTTTGCGCTTAATACAAGCTGGCAAACACCTTCCCATCCATCCCTCTTCTCATCGCTTGCCCTTTTTCTCGTGCGACCGGTGCGCCATGCAGCGGATGCCATCGGGGTCCATGGCAAACCCCAGCGGGCGGTAGAAGGTGACAACGCGCTGCTCCGCAAAGAGCCCCACGTTGCACACGCCCAGGCGCAGCAGCGCACCCACCACGCGCTCCATGAGGGCGCGGCCCAGCCCGCTGCCCTGCAGGCGCGGGTCCACCGCCACGTCCCACACCACCTCGTTGAACACGCCATCCCCCGCCGTGCGCGCAAACGCCACTGGCTCCACCGCCGCCTCAGGCGGGGAGGGCGAGGGGGAGGTGGGCGAGGAAAAGAAGGCGAGAGGCTCAGCAGGAGAAGGTTGAGGGGCGGAGAACCAGAGCACGAGGGTGGAGTGCGCCAGCGCGTGCTGCAGCTTCTTGGGGCCGCGGCGGGGGAAGCCGGCGCGGTGGAAGAGGTCGTCGAGCTTGGCGTAGTCGAGCAGCGCCGTGTCCCAGTGCACCGCGATGCCCCGCTCCTGCAGCTCCCCGTCCGTCACACTCACCTGCTGCTGCCCTCCTGACCCCCCTGCCCCAGCAGCAGCGCAGTGCCGTGTATGGCGTGTGGCGTGGAAGCGCGGTTGGCAGAATGGTTGGTGACACTGCACGGGACCAGCAGGGGAGTGGAGACGGAGACAAGGGGAACTAAATGGGTTATGGTTGCAGTTAGGTACGTTTATTAATTAAGTGGAGACCAATAAGTCAATCCTAGCAAAAGAAAGGCATCCAATCAGGCAATGGCAGTGCATGCCAAGCAGCCCAACACGCCAGCATGGATGCACGGCAGCTGCTGCACACCGACAGAGAGTCAAAGCTATGGCCGCACCACTCGCTTGCGTTGAACACGGATGGAAGAACCGCAATGTCAGCATCGCAGACAATCCAGGGCACAACATTCCGTGGTGTGCACTCACCGTGGTGTGCACTCACCGTGGACGGCATGCAGGCGGACAGAGGCGCGTGTTGAAGGGCTGACTCATGGGGCGCGGGCGGGTGGAGGGTTGTCAATGGGTGGAGGGCGCCGGTTGAGGCAGAGGCAGATGAGAGAGAGGCGACGAGAGGAGGGAGCATGCTGCCGCTGAGGGCAGAGCAGGGGAACGGAACGCGATGGGACGCGGAACTGAGGGAGAGAGAGGGGAGTTGGTGGGGGGGATGGAAGGGGGGAGGGAAGGGGGGGAGAGAGAAGGGAAATGGGAGGAGAGAGGGTTGTGGCGATGAAGGGGATGGGGTGGGAGGTGGGCAAAGAGAGGGGGACAAGTATTGGAGAGGGTTTGGTGGGCGTTTCGCTTGCTCCGCAGCCACTGTGTTAGAAAGAATGGGCGGAGAGAAGGGGCTTGTGGGAGAAGAAGGACGGGGGAGGCCAACGAGGAGAGGTTGCAAATGGCAGCAGGGCACCATGCGCGCGCTAGTGGGACACGAAGAGAAATTGGCAACGAGGCCGTGGCTGCTCGACAGCTGCCGTCGGCCTCGACGCCCAACACGCCAATCCCGCCAATTCCGCGCCTCCAGCAACACCGCTGGTGCGGCGCGTCATGTTGGCAACAATTGAATACTAAAGCCGCTAAAACCTAATTCGAGTCGAGTCGAGCGCGACGAACCCACTCTGCCCGCCGTACGCAGTTGCTGCTAACTTGCCTGCCCACATCACTGATCGGAAACTGCCGTGGTACAGCGTGTAACGCGGATGGTATCATCCTGGTGTCAGCGGGAAGCGCGGAAACAGCAGCCACTGCAGTCGGAAGGCGGCCGGCTGCAAGCGGCGGGAACGGCGAGTGGAGCATGGCAGCCGAGCCGACGCGCGGCGCTAACCTGCGCGCGACAAGGAAAAAAACTCTTGGTATGAAGAAGGGTATCCTAGACAAGGGAGGCAGCGCAGTTGCACTGCAGATGTGGAAGTGCTGGTTTGCACTCAAGAGTTGTGTGAGGTGCACTCCACCATCACACTCAACCTCACACTCACACACACACACACACACTCTCGCACTCACCCTTAAACTAGCCCTCTAATCAACCTCACACTCACCCTTGCATTCACCCTTGCACTCACGCTCGCACTCAAGCGCGCATCCACGCTCACAGTCACCCCCATTCTCACCCTTGCACGCACACTCGCACTCACACTCACACTCACCCACTCACTCATGCGCTTACACTCACCCTCGCTCTCACTCTCACACTCACCCTCGCAATCACTCTTGCACTCACGCTCGCACTTACTCTCGCACACACCCTCAAGGCACTGTCTCTCACACCACACCTGCTCTCACACCCGGATTCAAACCTACGCTCACCCTCTCGCACACGCTCGCACTCACTCTCGCAACAAACTCACCAACACTCAAATACTTTCATTCGTCCTTAAATACACTGACAGAAAATACACACAAACACTTGCACTCACCCTCAGGCTCGCGCTCGTGCTCACTCAAAACCCACACACACACGCACGCACGCACGCACGCACGCACGCACGCACGCACGCACGCATGCACGCACGCACGCACGCACGCGCCCACACGCACGCGCACGCACGCGCACGCACGCACACGCACAGACACATACACGCGCGCACGCGCGCACACGCGCACACGCGCACACGCGCACACGCGCACACGCGCACACGCGCACACGCGCACACGCGCACACGCGCACACGCACACACGCACACACGCACACACACACACACACACACACACACACACACACACAACACACAACACACACACAGTCGCTCGAACCCTCGAACTGAAGGCGCAATCACTCACACCCTCACTCGCCCTCGCACTCACACCCGAACGCACACTTGCATTCGCCTTCGCACTCACACTCACGCTCACTCTCCCATTTGCTCTCGCATGAAGTTACATGCACCTTTGCACTCACCCCCGCCTCACTCTCGCACTGACACCCGCACTCACATCCACGATCACCCTTATTCTCATACCCTGCACTCGCTCTCGCACTCGCTCTTCACTCACAACTCCTTTCGACACTCACAAAAACACACACAAACGCGTGCACTCATCCTCGTACTCAACCTAGCACATAAACTCGAACGCACTTCCGCACCTCCCTTTGCACTCACAACCGCACCCTTGCACTCAACCTCGCATTCACACACATACTTTTGAACTCGCCGTCGTCCTCACACTCACTCTCACAATTACTTTCACACTCCCTCGCGCACTCATGCTCGCACTTGCTCTCTCATTGACATTCGCACTCGCCCTTGCGTTCATAACGTACTCACCCTCAAGTGCATGCGAGCATCTCACCCTCAAGTGCATGCGAGCATCTCACCCTCAAGTGCATGCGAGCATCTCACTCTCAAACTCACCCCGGCGCGCACTCGCACCCAATTTCACACTCAAAATCATCCTCTCGCACACTGACGCACTCACTCTTGCCGCCACTCACACACTCTCGCCCTAAGCGCAAGCGCCCACGGTGCCAGCGCCCCAAGCGCAAGCGGCTTAGGCGCAAGCGCCCACGACGGAATGTGAGGGGGAGGCGAGGACGGGATGTGAGGGGGAGGCGACGGCGGGATGTGAGGGGGAGGCGACGACGGGGGTGGCGACGTCGGGATGGGAGGGAGAGGCGATGGCGGGTAAGAGGGAGATGCGGCGGCGAATGAGAGGGAGAGGCGACGGCGGGATGGGAGGGAGGCGACCGCGGGGTGAGAGGAAGAGGGGACAGCGGGATTGGAGGGAGAGGCGATGGCGGATTAGAGGGAGAGACGACGGCGGGATAGTAGGGAGAGGCGAACGGCTGGGTGAAAGGGAGAGGTGATGGCGAGGTGGGTGGGAGAGGCGATGAGGGACGAGAGGCGAGGTGGGAGAACAAGGGCCCTGTTCGGTAGCCTTCCAGTCACACTGGGCCCACTCGAACTGGGGAAGCCTACGACATGTTTCGTAGCCTCGGGCGTCCACTAACACTGAAAGGAAGTCTCGTCCACAAATGCAAGAAGTTACCGTGTGTTTCTCGAGAAATTACTGGTCGAAACTTTTACTTCTGTACGAGGCTGCCCAGATCACAAACAAAAAACAGCCCGCCAAATGAAGCACCCTCGATATGGATAAAAGAAAATCACGAACGGGCACGATCTCTCATCGTTTGAACGAGCGGGCTGAAAAACATAATTTGACCCGATTCGAAACTAATGCAGCGTTTACCCTACAGCGTGCCACTCAGAGAGGGCCTGCCTGAGTGGAACTGGAAAGCAGAAATGGGGTTGACTTTCACTGGCGGTCGAGCTTGCCTGAGCAAGCATTTTCGTGGTAGCGTCCTCAACTTCACTCGGACTGGGTTTTTCACGCGTTCGGTAGCCAACTTGCACTGGGCAGGTATGGTGTTCTAATAACGGTTTGGTGGGCTTTAAGGTGAGTCAAAATTGGGCGGAGGAAGAGCACCTGCACCAACCGCAGTGTGACTGGGGGGGCTACCGAACAGGGCCAAGGGTTTGTTGGGCTGGGTTGAGTTGAGAGTTGGGCTGACAATTCAAGGCCATTTGCCTTTAAAGCCCGCGACTCGTATTTCACAACTCCCAACCAAGTCTAATACGGTTTGCTATGAGTTGTAAAAGAGAGTGCGCGGAATAACGAATAACGGGACTGTGACTCAATGAACTGACAATAAAATGAAGGCACGCGCTAATATAGCAACTACCCTAGCTAGGAGGGAACTTCGGGAAACGAGGTTGGGTGCAAGTTTGGCAATCGAAGGGCCGAAGGCGACGCGAGGAGCTTGGCATCGTGGATTGTGTTCCATTGTGTTGCATTGATGTGGGTTGGGGTACATATGCCTAACCCTAACATTTGTACCCCACAAGACAAGCCTCACTACAGGCTACAACATTTGACACACCCCCATAGCCTATGTGAGGGGTGTCAAGCAAAAATCTAAAAGAGTACGGTCACAAGACCAGTAACAAAGAAACAAAGCTCAGGGTGGATCACAATGTCACCACACATTCCGAGCACAAGCAGAATGGCCACAAGGCCAGTTCAGGGGTTCACAAGTGTATAAACAACGGGTACAACAAAAACAAGCAACGTCTACACAAGACGAGAACCAGTGTCAACGAGACCTAACTGCACACAACACCTGTGGCGGTCACAAGGCGGAAGCCCCTTGGTGAAGATGTCTGCAGTGTTGGCCTCAAACTCCACAAAGTCCAAACGAGCCTGTCCACGCCTCTGCAACTCTCGTAGGAGAAAGTACCTGACGTTGATGTGCTTCACTATGCTCTCCAGTCGAGGCTCCCGACAGAGAAGAATCGCCGCCTTGTTGTCAGTGAACAAGGTTGGTGCAGAGCTAGGCCGTTCACTAAGGTCTGTGAGCAAGAAAGTCAACCAACGCAGCTCCTGTGCAGCCATGGCTCCAGCGTAGATCTCAGCCTCAACAGTGGAGTTCGAGACCGAGGAGGAGCGCGTGGACCTCCACGAAACAGCTCCAAAGCCCAGGCTGAAACAGTAACCCTGAGTAGACCTGTGGGTCTCGGCGTCGTCAGCGTAAGAAGAGTCACAATGACCAGTAAGGACGACCGGCGGTGTCCCTCCAAGTACCAACCGCATGCCTTATGTCGTCGCTAGGTACTTCGCCACCCTCACAGCAGCGGTCCAGTGAACAGGACAGTGTTTCCCTGGCGCAACAAAGCGAGCAAGGATGCTGAGAGGGTAGGCGAGGCCCGGGCGAGTACAAGTCATCAGGTACATGAGGAAGCCCACAAGCTCTGCGTAGGGACCACTAGGCTCAAACGGCTCGTCAGGGAAGGGACTAGCGAGTCTGTGGTCAACAGCAAGAGGTGTGCGATGTACTGTGGAGTGCTAAAGCTCGAACCGCTGAAGGACCTGCTGCACCATGTGTGATTGCGAGAGTGTAATGGTGCGAGCGGCTCTGTCCCTGGTGATCTGCAGGCCAAGGTAGTGGCGTAGCTCACCAAGGTCAGTGCAAATGTGTCTCTTCTTCAGTTCGCGCTTCACGTCAGCCAAAGCAACCCTGTCAGCAGTGGCGAAGACTAGGTCGTCGACGTTGACCAGTGCAAAGAACGGTGTGGAGCCACGATGAACAAACAGCGACGTGTCGGCAGAAGACGACTAGAAACCGAGGTCAGACAGAGTAGAACGAAGGGTGTCGTGCCACTCACGAGGAGCCTGACGGAGACCGTAGACCGGTCGCCTCAGCCTCCACTGGGTCTCAGGAGGGAAGGTGCCAGTGAAGGCAGAGGGACGACGCAACCAGTCCTCCTCGTGTAGGCTACCCTGAAGGAAGGCAATGGAGAAGTCGAGAGAGTGTAGCTCGTAGTCTCTCTGTGCTGCTACGTGCAGTAACACCCAAAGAGTGGTAATCTTCGGGGTAGGCGCGAAGGTCTGAAAGAAGTCGACTCCCTCGCGCTGACTGAAACCTCTGGCCACATAGCGCGCCTTGAAGACAGGAGGAGATCCCGGTGGCCACTTCACCCTGAAGATCCACATGCCATCGACACCGTTCGCCCCAGGGGGGGGGGGGGACCTCGTCAACGTAAGTGCCTGTGGATGTGTAGGAGGCCAATCTCTGGGTCCATGGCAGCTCTCCACTGAGAGGCCCAAGGCCCTGACACTGCCTCAGCGTAAGTGCGAGGAGTCGGTATGTCAAGGGCGTTGGGGTCTTTCTTAGGAGCGAGCAGCATGGCACAGAGATGAGGGGAAGCGGCTGCCAGGAACTCTAGCTCAAATTGCCTGTCCTCTAGGGCGTCACAGACAAGGGCAGACTCACCCCCTACGGCTAAAGGACTGGTAGGAAGAGCAGCCACAAGATTGGTTGCGTAGTCAAGGCTGCGAGTAGAGGCAAACTCAGTGACTGCGGCAGGAAGAGCGGAGACAGAGGACAGAGAGGGACATGGGTCGGTAACAAGAGAGGCGAGAACACAAGACAGAACAGGACGGTACGTGCGGTAGTAGTCCGTGAGAGGAGTAGAGAGGGAGGCATTGAAAGCCGACTCGGGAGGAGAAGGAAGTACAGAAGGAGATGAACGAGGCGGACTAGAACAAAGCAGAGCAGTACGAAGGTCAGAGAAGGGAAGAGGGGACGAGGGACGAGCACGAGGAGAGCGACGCGAAGGCCAAGTGTGAGAAAGAGGAGGGGACAACGGAGGAAGAGAAGGAGGGAAAAAAGCTGGGGAGGGGTCAGGAGGAGGAAGCGGAGGACCAGAGACGGGAGGAGAGGGGGACGAGGGAGGAGAGGGAGAGGGGAGACCGAGGGTCCGAAGACCAGAGACAGGAGGAGGAGGCGGCGGCTGCTGCTGCTGCTGCTCCTCCAGCTGCGGCGGCTGCTGCGGCTCTTGCTGCTGCGGCTGCTGCGGTGGCTGCTCCTGCTCCGGCCGCTGCTGCTGCTGCTGCTCCGGCTGCCGCTGCTGCTGCTCCTCTAGCCGATGTAGCTCCAGCTGCTACCGCTCCAACTCTCTCTCCTCTCGCTCCAACTCTAGCTGCTCCTCACAGGCTCAACGAACACGGGCCTGGTGCCGGGTCAGGTAGGGGTGGGGGGGAGGAGTAGTGTCCGGAGCGGTGGTAGCCCTAGGACCGCTCTCCAAAGAACCAGTCGCACCACCCCTAGAGCCAGCACCACTAGAAGTAACAGGGCCCATCCCAGGCTCTCCAGGTCCAGCAGAGGGTGCACCCCCAGTCGTAGCACCCTCAGGGACAGCTCCACTAACACCAGCTCCCCGAAGACTAGAGTCTCCTGCACGCACGGGCTCAGCTCCAACTCCAGCACCCCCATAACTAGGACCTCGCACAAGTACGCTCTCTGCTCCAACTCCAACACCTCTAGAGCTAGCACCGCCACGGCCCTCGCCACGAAAAATGGCTCCCGCAGGGTCTGCTGTAGCCTGGGAGGAGGACTGCGGGGAAGGAGGCTACACCTGAGGGGCTACCGATTGGGGAAGGGTAGCATGGGACACACCTGACGGGGCGGGACCAGGGGGGGAGGAGGTACTGGGGGAGCAGGAGGGGGAGCTGAAGTTGGAGGGGGAGGAGGAACCGGGAGACCTCGACAGGGGTACCGGGTGTAGTAGGGGACTAACTTGACAAAACGAACGTCGCGGGAGTCAAAGAATAGTGGTAAAATGTGAAGTCAGAGGAGTCCACGAGGAACCAAGGAAGACACAAGGAAGGGCACGAGGGGAGAGCTTATCCGCGGAGGTGTCGCGAACAAGCGCCAAGCAGCCCCAGACACGAAAACGCGACGCAACACCAGGGGACCCGGTCCAAAGACTGGTCGGTGAAGCCTCTGGCTGAGAGACATGTGGCCAGAGGTTCAGCTGGTGAGCGTACCGAACGGCGTAGGGCCACAGAAAATGGGGTGCATGGGCGTGTATCATGGAGGTGCGTGCAATCTCCATGACCAAGCATATGCGGCGCTCAGCAACCCCATTCTACTGTGGGGACTCTGGAAGCGTCCAGGACTGACGGATACCCTGCTCGCAACAGAATCCAGCGAGAATGCCGGAGCGAAACTCACCCCCACGGTCGGAGTGAAGATAGCTGACACAACGACCATGAGTGTCCGCAGTGGTAAATAACCACCAGATCAGCGTAGAAGTCACCTCATACTTCTTTGCCAAGGGGAACACTGTGGTGTAGCGAGAGTAGTCGTCAATGACCACCAGAAAAAAACTCTCTCGCTCAGGGCCAGACGTCCAAGTGGAGAGTCTCGAAGGGCTCGGTGGCCAGACGAAGGGAGGAGTAGTGAGGGGTGGCACGCAGCTGACCCTCGACGCAGGGACCGCAAGGTGGTGCAAGCGAAGGCGGTAGTGACGGCAAGACTCGCGGGAGGCCTAAGACAAGACGTTGACTAGACATAGTGCGCAGGCGAGGAATGGACGGGTGCCCCATCCGGTGGTGCCACAGAACGGTGGGGTGGGCAAGTGACCGGCAGGAGCACGACCCAGCAACTGGACCAGACACCGGAACCTAACCAGACACAGCTACCTGGGGAGACGCGACAACCTGGTGAGACGCGGGAACCTGACGGGGGGCAGTGATAAGGGTCGGTGGCAGTAGCCGCTGCTGCTGGTGCTGCGGCTGCTGCTGCTGCTGCTGCTCTCGAGTGCCAGTGTGAAGTGTGTAGAGATTAGAGTACGACTCAGCGGCAAAGGTGGCGAGAGGAGCGTACGTGTCCCCATCGACACAAACCACAGTCTCGCTAAAAGGCTCAATCCACACACCCACGTGCTGACTCACGAGTGGCCTCACGCCCACCAAGTTCCTCGAGAACGAGGGGATGTGGAAGCCGGTCAGAGAACCGGAGCGAGCACCCGGGCATGGAAGTGTAGTAGTGTAGTGAGCAGTGACTGGTCTCGAAGTGGGATCAGCCGGTGCTACAGAGACCGGCGCAGGAAGCGGGGTAAGTGTCGTATGGTCGCGGAAGAAACAGTGCGAAGCTCCGGAGTTCAGAGTGAAAGTCAGCGAAAAGTCCCCCGGACTAGTGTCTACACAAGTACCTACACTAGCAACAGGCACCTCAGCAAGA